TCTACTAACCATTATTTTGCACAATTGCTTACTTGAAAGTTTGAATCACCATAGATTCCTTCGCCATCACAAATATTATCTTCATCATCAAATTCTATGCCATCAATGGAACACTGTTATTTTGATGAAATCTATGATTTAATTCGATCATCTTGTCATTCAGCTACACCAGTAATTACTGATTCTTCAAAAGTTGATTATACTATTCGAAACACAATGGATAAATCTCAGAATATCAGATTCGATAATATTCGAGATCAATTAAAAATATTTTCTGCACATCTTGCACGTGTCGAACAATCAGCAACACCGACTCCAGACCTGCTTCAAGTCAATCAGTTCAGATCGAAAACTCTTCAACTATTTTGTGAGAACGTTATCAAGTACAAGAAGGAATTAATCGTCTTAAATTAGAGCTTGCCATAGCACGCTCACAAACTCATAACAATCAATCAGCATCACACTCAACTCAACCATTACCATTAATGTCAACAGTCATCGAATAATCATCCATTAATTCTAGTACCACATGTTTTACCCGATCGATTAACACGCACTCATAGTCGATCATCAGTTTTCATTCGAATTTAAAATTTGGTGAGTGATAATCATATTCATAGCTCGCAGGTACGAACAACTATCTTCGACATACTATCTAACAAGCCATTTATGAAGGCGAATTTATTTGGTTCAGTCAAATGCAAAGATATGTCGAACGTAATTATAGTTGCGAAGAATTTAAAGTACGATTTTATGGGGAGAGCGAAAATTGGTCGATACGAAAATTGGTCGATACGATAATTGACCGATACGAAAATTGGTGGAGAAACGTATAATAATATAATTAGTTTGTTTTTATCAAAAATAGAAGCGGATACTCTTCAGTAGAATTATGAATAAATTCTACCTTTATTGTGACACAATTATAGAATTACTCACGCTCAAAACGAACAATTGACAAACAAAAGAGTAAAAATCAGGAAGACGAGCTGCAGCATGATCGGATAAATTCGTGAGACAATAATCAATAACATTTTGTGTAGCTTCGCTTGAATTAAGTGCTCGATGACGAATTTTTCCTTCAAATATTCGAATTTCAGTTGAAACGGGATTACCAGGATGATTATGATTATCGTCTTCATGTAATAATGTTGTATGAGTACAGTTGTGTGAATTCGTCCTTTACATTTAAATTTTCGAACATGTTCACATTTCCAATAACTTTTATCATTAGTTGTTTTATCGATAGTATAAGCAAAGTCTTTACATATTAACAAAGGTTTGTTCTTTTCTGTTGTACTGAATGTAAACGTTGACATTTGTGAAAAATAGTAGTGTTCCGTTTACATATATAAGTTTTAATATAATGTATTAAGAGTCTTTTAATCTA